CATCCATCCATCCATCCATCCATCCATCCATCCATCCATCCATCCATCCATCCATCCATCCAGCCATCCATCCATCCATCCATCCAGCCAGCCAGCCAGCCAGCCAGCCAGCCAGCCAGCCAGCCATCCATCCATCCATCCATCCAGCCAGCCAGCCAGCCAGCCAGCCAGCCAGCAATGCCAGAGGTAACAACATTTGAATTGCATCTGTAGATAGCTAAACTGAAATGAAAGTTGGGGTAAACACCAGACCCAAGGCATCAGTGCTACAAACTGTGGTTCCATGCAGCCTATGGCTAAGATCATCAGAATAAATTTGCCCATAAAGTCCTGTATGATGTTTAAAACTAGCTCAGCCTATTAGAATCTGAAAGTCTAACTGTCTAACTGTTGTATAATAACTTCAGCTGCTTTGTTTCCTAGACACCCGAATGATAATTGTTATTAATTTTGCTTTCTACCAGAAAATCGAGCAGAAGGATCGTTAGTGGCGGACCTTAAGCCCCACAGTTTGATTCTGTAGCAGGACAAGCAGCCTCAGCACAGTAGCAAGGCCGCTAATAATCACTCCAGGAAGGACATTTTCTGAGTGGCTTTGCAAAAGTCTGACTAATTCAGCTACTGTACAATGACATTTAAAACACCACCCATTCTCAGATACTCTGTATCAAGGCTGCATAAAACATTTCTACGAAGCAATGAGGTTTCTGAGAATATAATAAAAAAGACCTTCATCGTGACACAGTGGGAATCCTGTGTGCCAGCTGGGAGAAAATACTGTACATTTATCCAAATGGATCATTCAGAGTAAACGAAATGTTCAACTGGATCTTAAGGTGTATAAAATGAAGAGATTAAAAAACATGATATGGATGTTAAAAAGTTAACAGCTATCCAAAACTTTTCAATATCCATTAATCACAACATTATTTGAACAAAACAATTATTTGAATTACTTGATTTTCCTTAATCTAGTTTTGTTATGTTTATCCAATATTAATATTTGCTAGTGATGTGAAACAGGGGAGGATTTAGGGAATTTGGGGCCCTAGGCAAAAACAGGCAGGGGGGCCTCTGAGGTGAGAAGACAACACAGAAAACAGACACATTACACAGATACAGACATGTTAATAGAATAGACATACATTATTTGTTCTAGGTTTTCTCCCTCTCTTCTTGTCCCCTTTCTTCTTGTTTTCCTCTCTATGTTTTGTACTCAGCTGACTTTTCATGCTGTGTCAAAAGGAATGAAAGATTTTTTCCAAGCACTAAGCTCACTTAGCTGATTGCTCCTTCCTGTGTTTCCAAAAAGACAAAAGTAAATAACCCAGTCCTTCTTTTCACTGATCTGCTTATCTGTTCTCCATTTTTCATCTGGATGAAATAATAGCTGCATGAATCATGACAGCAGACAAGATAGAGGAGAGCAGGAGACGGGGTTACCAGTCTACTTGCTCTGGAGAGCAGAGTTCGCTGCTTTTATATGTCATAGTCAAAGTCTCCAGTAGCAGAAAAAAGTCACTAGGTTTGGCTCTGGGTGCTACTTTGAAACCAAAGTACTAGAGGGGCCTAAAAAGGTCGCTAAATATAGTGACAAAAGCGCTAAGTTGGCAACACTGCTCTTCCTGCTGGTTGTTTACAAATGGTTTGCTGCTGTCTGTTTGGACTTTTCCGAACATGTGCAGCAAATGGGCAGATCCTATGTTTGTGGACACTGAAGGCAGGGGGGCTGAGACACGCTTAATATTATAAGTGTTCTGATGGCATTTTAGCAAAAGGATTTTTTATCAAAAATATAATTAATATGCAAAAATAAGGAATAGTTGTATTAACCATACATGTAAACAGAGTTTTATGGGCCCTCAGGAGCTTGGGACCCTAGGCAACTGCCTAGTATTGTCCAATAGTAAATCCCCCTGATGTGAAAACTTCACTTCCATGATGTCAGATCAGTTTGCAAGGTGTGCTTATGGTGCATTTAAACACCTCAAACATCCTAATCAGTGGCTGAAGAGCATCAAGAAATAAAATGTAAGAAATCAAACAAAGACGGATTGATTTCAAGATGTCTGAGGCCGATATGTTCTTCTGTAACATGCAGAAATAACAATTTTGCTCTCTATGTAATAGAATGGAGTCTGTTTAGGTGAAAAAAGTGCCCTTCAGGACAAAGTTACATACATTCAAAGAGGACAGCCCCAGCTGTAAGGAAAGTCATTATCGAGAGGGAAACCAATTCTGCACTGTGAATCAACAAGGTTTGTTAAGAGGACACATTTAATTGCTTCCTACTAAATCTAGAATGTCTCCTTAAAGCAATTCTCAGGATAATTGGATGAAAAACAAAGAATTACTAGTTGCACAAAATGTTTTTTTGCTACACTTCAAAATTTCCAATCCAGCAAACCCATTGTTTTTTTCTATGCATGTTGGTTTTAAAGGAGAAGTCCAGTCATATTCAGAATTCAAACTTCTGAAAGTACTTTCAATAAATGATTATTGTTTTTAATTAAGAGTAATTTTCATTTCAGCACATTTTTCATGTGCTTTACTGGAGGAACCCATGTTTGTCAAAGAACACTACTGCCACCTACCGGTTTGTGACGTCACGGTGCGGTAACGGCTGTTGATCAAGTCCCAGTGCTGTATCTGGTGTTTGTCACTACATGCTACTATCCAAGTCATCTTGAAAAAATTCTTCTTCCAAATGTTGGCTACATATTACGTGCTTTTCTTTGGCCAGAAGTTCAATGGCAAATCCATTAATGTTGGCGTTGTCAATTTAACTATAGCTCTGGTGAATTTCAATGGTGAAGTCCTCTGGAAATCTTCAATAATTGTTGTTGATTGCAGATGTGTCTAGTAGTTCCCATTGATTTTGCTTGTATAGCAGGGAGAATGGCGCTAGGCTTACTGCACCGCAACATCACTGCTGGAAGACGGCTGGAGTGACATGTTTTTTCTATATTTGGGAAAAAATGGACGCTCCAGGACTCAGGGATTGCAATGGAAATAATTTTTCTTTTTTTTTTTTACTGATTGATGCTAAATTCATTAAATCACTACGAACGTATTAGTTTTAGGTATAAATAATGATCTGTTGATCATTCCTTGCTGACTGGACTTTTCCTTCAAATTCATTTTATAATCAAAAATATTTCTGCAGATGACCACAGGCCTCTTAGCCATCAACTGTGAGTGGGCTGTGTTGCTCATACTCACATGTGTTGGGAAAACTCAGGTGCCTCATCGTTGATGTTGGCCATTCTAATCCGTACTGTCGTTGTCCCTGTGCGAGGGGCCTCTCCCTTGTCAACTGCCATGACAACAAACTCGTACAGGTGATTCGGTCTTTCGTAGTCCAGAGGCCCTGCTGGGAACACGGTCCCATGAGGGGAAATGATGAAGTCTGGACTTAGGGTGTAATAGGTCAAATCCGCATTGGCTCCTGAGTCGCAATCGTTGGCAGACACTATGGGCAGGAAAGAATAAAACAGGAAAAAAACAAAGTCAGAACAGCTTAAAAAGTAGTGTTCTTGGTAGAAATCTTTCAATTATGGTATTTTCTGGTTCTTTGTAGACATTTCTTTTTTATTAGATGCAATTTGACTTTTTTGTCTGTCTGCGGGTATTACGACCAGACATACCTGAAGGGACATCATTAATACCTAGAAACCACCTGAGCCTGGACTTGGTACAGTTGCAGCCTTTCAAAATTTCCCTTCCCAGTCAAACGGCAGGCGAATGGCAGGCCACTTCCCTGCAATTCCCAGTGATATCCTCTCCAACTTCCAGACACTGGACTGACCCCCTCTTGCATATTTTTTTACTCTGACTCCACCCGTTCACTAAATCACAGGGTCAGACCAGGAGATGATGCTTCTCTTTAGATCTTGATGTCAACAAATCATGACTGAATATTTTAGTACATAGATTGACATTTAAAAAAGGAATTTTAGAGGACCAGCCAAGGACCAACCAAGGACCAACCATCAAGGAAAGTGGGGAAATTTTGAATGGCTATTACTGTAGACATGTTGCTCACCTTTCCTTGATGGGCTTTTGGAAACGCCCCCTCTATTACTTGACACACACCACGAAGGTTTGGCTCATCTCATAATATCATGAATTAATGGCGATATTTTATCTATAGCCATTAATGCAGCATGTTAATGCCAAAACGGCCCACCACTGGATAGTGATACAAGTGATAGAAAACAACTTTGGAAACTTTGAGGAAGATCTACAGGTACCAGTGCTTTTTGCTTCTCCCTAATTCAGGGGTTACCATAGAAACTCATCACCACTTGGACACCAAACTGCCAAAGTTCTTATCCCTGATGTTCCTGACTGACCAGGTACCCCGTATCAAAAAGAAGGACTCACTGCGCTACGCTACAGAGGGACATGTGATGAGACAGAAGTTATGCTCCTACTTTGCAAAGTAGTAGAAAGTGTTGCTTGCACAGCAAGCATTGAAAACACTGTCATTTTGCAACATTTCCCAGCAAGTGGCTTACATTGGGAATCCATGGACCCTGGGCCAGCTTGTCCACAAATTGACTGCCTTGCTAAAACTGAAAATTCCACAAGGGATTTGAATAAGCATATTTTACTCTAACAAGAACATTTCACCATGAAAAGCTCAATTCTCCAATTCGCCTTACAGTGCATTTAGCTCATGTGCTCTTACAAACAATGCACACACACCCACACACACATCCGTATGAATAATACATGTGCAGGCACTCACACATATCAAAGAAGAAACAACAGCTAACAGAACTGCAGTTCGTTATTGGCATAAAGCCTTGGGGAATTTTAAGTGGCGTCAAATGAATAGTTTGAGGGTAGTTAAATGAAAATAAGCCGGCAAAACAATTTTTACAGTTTATAGCAAGGTTTCTGAAGTTTCTGTTTATCCACCTCATTTGTTTAATTAATTATTTTATCTAATTTAGTGCGGATAAGGTCAATTGATTTCTATTTCTGAAACGCTAACAATGATTAAAACTTCTGCATACCATGGTCTTTGTTTTTTAGTTTCCAAAACTAGTCAGTTAACTAATAAACCAATTAAAAACAGGTGAGTGTTGGGGTGAATGTGTGTGTGTGAGGATAACTGGTTGACTGAAGTAATTACCGGCTATTTCATTCAATTCAGTTTATAATTATATTTCATTTTACATCTCAGGTCACGTTCTAGATCCAGATTATTCAGATCATCCAGTCATCGACTTTACAGGAAACCTCCATCAGAACCAGAACCAGGCTCAGTGTGAGTGGACATCTGCTGAGGCTGACTGGGGTTCAAGGAGGCAGAAGCAGACATAGAAAAAGAACACAGAAGCTCTGACCAATAGCTAAAGGAAACCTGAAAATGACATTTTTATTAGAAACTAAAATGTTCTGATTTTTAGAAAAAAAGGGTTTTTCTAGATGACCATGATCTAATTTTGATAAGCAAGCGCACGTTTCTACAATGTTCACAGAGCAGACATCAGGTTGTCTGTGAAGGATTCAGCTTCTTAAATCCATCTATACTTAATACAATTCAAATACAATACGATACTAAAGACTCTTTGTTTTCCATGTCGGCACAGAGGGCAGTTTGCTGACAGCGTCATCAGCCCAAAGAACCAAATGCCATTGCTGAAAGAGAGATAGCACCATGAAAGATACTGTGAAAATGATCCCCAGGGTTAAAGAATAGAGGGGTTGTTGTGCCAACTCTTCCTGCTTCTGCAGCATGCTGCCAATTTGGCCTCTGGACAGGAGAGACTGGAGCCATCTGCCACCCAGGAAGATCGTTTCGGGTCCTGACCAGAGGGGAATACAATTCAGCCAAAGGTTCATTCACCATCATTAGAAGGGATGAATTGAGTTGTGATTTAATGCTATGTAACAGAAACTAGAAATCAGCTGATCTGAGTGACCTATGAGCTTGTCTCCACAGATCAGCTGGACCCAGATTCACCGAGTCACTGTGGAATCAGTTTGCTGACATCATCAACTCTTTGTTACAGTAGAAGCCATTGAAAATTTTCCCACTTTCCTTGATGGAGCCCTGGCTGGTCCCCTACAATTCCTTTTTAAACATCAATCTTCATACTAAAATATTCTTTCTATTATGATTTGTGGACATTAGGATCTAAAGAGAAGCGTCATCTCCTGGTCAGACTCTGTAATTCAGTGAAAGGGTGGAGTCAGAGTAACAAAATATGCAAGGGGGGTCAGTCCAGTGGCTGGAAGGTGGAAAGGATTTTGCTGGGAGTTGCAGGGAAGTGAACTGCCATTCAGCTGGCATTGACTGGGAAGGGCCATTTTGAGTGGCTGCTACTGTACATTTTATGCCCTGCTTCTATTTTAGGGGGTAATTCACCTAAAACATAATTTATTCCAAACCAAAAAGAAGCTAGACATTTGTTTGATAATGACTAGAGGTCCTCAAGCACAGTCCTGGAGAGTCCCTCTCCTACTGCGGTTGGATGCATCCTACAAAGTATTTAGCCGTTTTTTTATTTTAATATTAAATATATTTGGATTTTATTTTTATTATTTTGAGGCCTAATCAAGACAAGTTCACCCTATTGATCCTTGGTTCTTTGTGTAATGAAGAACTGTTCAATAACGTTTACATCATTTCCTTGTGGTTTGCAAAAAATGTTTGGCCGTTACTCCATCCTGGAGAGAAATATCACATGTGCTGCTGCCATCAACACCTTTGTTTATAGATATTGGTGCTTGGCCTGTTTTTCAATGCAGACCTGTTTCTCTGACTGTGACTGGCTGGATGTTCTCTCTTAATCCTCTGACATGGCGGCTGGCTCGGAGCTCGTCTGCCTGGCTGTGTGTTTCCTTTTACAGCTGCTTTTTGTATCTCTGCTTCTGTCTCCTTGAACCCCAGTCGGCCTCAGCAGGTGGCGGCTCACACAGAGCCTGGTTCTGCTGGAGGTTTTCCTGTTAAAAGGGAGTTTTGCCTCTCCACTGTCGCTACAACATGCTTAGTGTGCGGGATTGCCTTCGTGTCTACGAGTCAATGCAATCAACTAAAAAACTTTGAATCAATTTAACTGTGTGATCTGGTGAACAGTTCCTTGCGATGACATCATGTGTTGTGAATTGGCGCTATACAAATAAACTGAATGGAATTGAAAATTAAAAGGATTTGGAGCTAATAGAGTCACGTGTGACACAGTGACTCAGGTTTATCTACGTAGTTATAGTGTTATTGTGAAGTTTTTTTATTAGCGCATATATTCACCTGAGAACTGATGATGTCTGTGTGTTACAGACTGTGGTTTTGCGCACTAAAGTGTATTTGACAATAAAGTAGTGAATCTCAATCGTTTTATCTATTTTTATTCATTGTATTATAAATACGCCTATAGGGTCATAGGTCTTTTGTCCAACAAAAAAATAAAAAAATATTTTCAGAGCACCCCCAGTTCAAAATGACTTCCAGCGGCCCTGTCTTTCTGTAATATTTATTCAATTCATTTTCATCTGTTTTCACATTTTAATCAAATTCCATATTGAAATGTCTTTCCTTGATGTGGTACCATTGATTTCCATTAAACACATTGAAGTGGACAGATTTCATTATCAAACACTGCTGCGGCCAGTAGCAGCCAGTTTTCCAGTGGAAATGCAGCATCACTCCCTACTTCTGATGTCAGGAGGCTGCCACATAGAGAGCCCAATGCTGCATATTACCACCAGCAGACATGCATCTTAGAGAGATAAATGGGTCTGGTGAGGTAAAGTAATGAGTTCAGACAGCATGCAGCTACTTTCTACAGCAGGAAGAGGCATCCACTCAGTCTACAGGGAAACCCAATAAGATCCAACAGCAAAGTTATTCAGAAAGTTTTTCATTGTTTGCTCCAGCTTTGTCATCTTTGACACAGCTGCCATGGCTTTAGGTCATCATCTTCACTGCCACCCGCAGTTCTGCTTCCTGAATAATTCAGGAACTGCAGAGAAACCTTTCAGAAGGTGGTTGAAAGCTTAGTTGCTTCAAAGAGTAACTCTATTGTACCTCGGACTTTTACAAGTCAGGTCCTCCACGTTTCTCAGCTCATATTTATTTCTTCATAAACTAGGAAACCCTTAGCTATTACAAAGATTAGGGTGATGTACCGTAGGCCTTCCATTGTCAAAGACTTTGAGTTTATCACCTAAAACATGTAATAAACTGTACAGCCATTCTGAGGGGGGTTTGATTGTTGAATTACTGATATAAACCAGAAGCAGGACTCTAGGAAGCACCGCATTTTAGTCATGCTTCCCTAATATGTACGTTTTAAAGCAGGAAGCTTTTTCTGCCATGAACTAAATTTACTTCACTGGAAAAGCAGTTGAATGATCTGTGGCTAAGAACCAGTCCTTATTTAACAGCAAGAACAGAGACCGAACTGAATAATCGGATGGTTGCATAATAATATGAGCTATAGAGATATTAAAAAGGTT